GATCCATGTGATTGTGGTTTGTAAACTAGTCACTTTTCTCCATGTCAGAGAGTAGAACTCTGGTGGAACCAGAAAATAGAAAAGAAATAATATCACCTGCTTATCCATTGGAAACAAACCTGATAAATTTCACTGTCAGTGACAGTGTCTGGTTCTCATTCATGGCCTATTTGCCTTTTAGCCATCTGGAATGCATCATGTTGGATGTCAATCAAGACACATACACGCACATATACGTATGTATATGCATATATCCCAGATTTTAGCTAAGTTTTTTTTCTTTCTCTATGCTCTGGTCATTCCTCTCTCTCTCTTTAAACTAAAACAAAATTGTAGTGTACAAAGGTGTTTCTGTGTCACAAAGCAGTTTATGAGTACAGTGCATCTTGACTGAATGTCTCCCCTTCAGCATTCTCATTCATCCCTCCCCTCCCCACGCCTTCCCTCTTCTTAATTTTGCAGAATTATTTGTGGGGGGTTGGTGGGGTGGGTCGCAGGGCTTGAACTAAGCTTGGGCACTATCCCTCAGCTCTTCAGCTCTAGGTTAGCGCTCTACCACTTGAGCCACAGTGCCACTTCTAGTTATCTGGTGGTTAATTGGAGATAAGAATCTCACAGACTCTTTCTGCCCAGGCTGGCTTTGAACCTCAGTCCTCAGATCTCAGCCTCCTGAGTAGCTAGGATTACAGGCATGACCACTGGTGCCCAGCCTACATTGAATTCTTCACTGCATTTCCCCCCATCGTCCCTCTTCATTTATCTACTCCTCTCCCCTTGACTCGCTCCACAAAGTTCTGTTTTATTAATTTGAGGGGGAAAAAAAACCATGACCTTCAGTGGGGATTGTGCAATAGAGAAAGCTGAATATTTCCTTTTACTTTTTAGAATGCTTCTAAGAAGTCTTATAACACTATATGATTCCATACTTATGAGCAATTATAAGAAAATTGTCTTGGAACGAGCCAGCACAGAGCAAAACAGCTCTTTGTGAATTTTTAGCAGCATACCTAGACTTAACTTCTTCAGTCCCAATCTGTGTCAATAAAAATAACCTGTAATATTCAAAAGCAAAGGAAGGGGAAAGTCTAATTTCATTTTATTAAATATAGTCACTTTCACAATGAATTAATTAGAAAAATGTTTTCCAAGAACATTGGGTTCTTTGGTCCAAATAGTTGTTGCTCAGTATTTGGCACAGGTCTGCATGTAGGACTCCAGGTGAACAGAGCAAGCAAATAAATGTGACCTTTGTAAGGCTGGGAATTTCGTTGTAAAGCCAAAAGGTACTCAAATACATAGATACTAGCCCACTCTTGATGTTTTTTTTTGTCCCAGAAATATTCTTTCTGGCTGTGGACATCTCTACATTCAGTTCTTGCCATGATTTTTGCTCATCTTGGTTCCCTGCAGACTTTGCCATCTGTCTAACTGGGTAAAGGTCCAATCTCTATAAGCCAGTTGGAAACACAGGTTTTGTTTGTTTGTTTGTTTGTTTTTCTTTTAGTAGAAAACCTCCCCAGTTTATTTAAAGCCATCTCCAATGCCTGAGAACAAATGGCTTTTCCTTGGCCATTTACCTTCGAATCAGCAATTACTGGGAGGTTAAAAGATCTTCAGTAAAGGGGGGAGCATCTGTTATTGTCATGATCTTGATTGTGGAGAGAGTTGAAGGACTTGGAAAAAGTCTTAATTTGTGAAGGTGAGGCTCTTCCTAGGATGTCACCTGAAATACCTTGGTACTTTCATCTGTCAGTTTAATAAGATCAGCAGTGTTTGTAGGTGATAGAAACCCATAGCTTTTATCCACCTGACAATAAATCAGCCTCCTTCCTTCTATGCTCCTATAACTCTTGCTCACTTTCACAGAGCCACTAAACTTTGGCAGTTGTCTAACACAAATATTGAGAAATCATTAAAAAGAAAAAACAATAGCTCTTGCCCTTGGCCAAGTATCCTTTTGAAGTGTCTCCTTCTCCGTGTCCCATCCCATATCTTGACTTATGACTTATGGCCTGAAGAATTTTGGGAATTGGCTAGGTAAGGTATTTGTTTATCTCAAAAACATACAGAAACTCAAGTGAAAGAGAAAAATATGGCCATCAGAATGTCTCCATAGTTGTTGTTTTAAACAAGAACGCTATGTTAGTCAGGTAACATACCGGGGAGGGCAAAGAAACAAATAGAGGAAATGGCTCCCAAGTTTAATGGTTTCAATTCATCATTCCTTTCCTCCTTGTTTAAAATTTGGATTATATTATGCTTTTAGTGTTTATACTATACATTTAGTGTTTTATTTTATAGAGCAGGCCTAAATGTGTTTTCTTTTGTTTGAATATAAAAGGCTGATTTCTTATGAGAAAGCTGGTTAGATTTCAGTTCTAAACAGTGATTTACTAATGGCTTTTCTTTTTCTTGGAAACAGTGTAGTTGGGTGGTTAGCACAGGTATTCTGGCATCAGACTGTCTAAGTTAAACTGAGGGAGACTACCCATAAATCAGCAGGTGATTACCTTGGGTGAAGTGCTTAATATTTTTGAGCGTTGGGTTTCTCTCTCAAACTAAGGTTATGGGGACTAAATGAGTTTATACCTAAACACATGTACAGGGGCGCTACTTGTCTTACCATTTTATCACTGTGTCTGATTTTATTACCTAAACAGTGCTTGGCATAAAATAAGTGCTGCATAACTGTTAGCTGCTACTATTACTATTTACTTTAGTTTTTATAACAATCATCGGATAGATATAATCCTCACTTTCCAGGTGAGGTAACAGAAGCCAGAGGACATTATTTAAGTTGCCCAAGGTCTTAACAGCTGGTGAGTGTGCAGAGCTAGAGTTGACTTCTAGGTTCCTGATGCCACAAAAGCTCCCCACCCCCGCCCCTGAGTCTGCTGTTGCCACTTCATTGTGTCAATGTGGTTGAATTATGAGAAAAACAATACTTGCATCCATCCATACGTTTTTATCGATTTATTTTAAAAGTAGTTACAATTTCACTTGGAAACCTTATCACGGCTATTAGATTGCACAGAATTTCTTAGCATACGTTTGCTGCAAGTTAGGCTTTTTGATAGAGCTTTTTAGACTGTGTAAGGACTGGGTTTATTCCTTAACTAGTATTCTTCCTGAAAGCAGAAGTATCGTATGAAGAGGCTGAATACTGTAGCTGGCCTTACAGAAGGCTCAGGAAAGTTACATGGAACTATGATGACGCACATGGCCATTTAATGCTAATAGATCTGAGTTTTCTAGTGAGTGAATCCTTGCATTCAATAGAGAAATAATGAGTTTTTAAATGGCTTATGGGCCATTTACAAGAAATTCATAATACTATCTCTGACTCTGGATCTTTGTATGATCTGCCACCTTAAGAGGAGTTCAGTGAATGTGTTTAGGCTGCAGTAGAGACTCACAAATAGGAGGATTATAATTTTCAGACAAATTGTCTCCCTATGAAAGTTTGGGGTGAGAGAAAGAGAGAATGATTGGTCCTGAGTCTGAGCAGTAAGCGTTACTTGTTTTGTATCATTTCCCTAATTACTTCTATCTCCTCTTTGACATTATACCACCTCCTTACTCGCTAGATGTCCCTGCGGTGGAAGTGTGCACATGAAAATCTTCATTTCCTATTGTTTTCCATGTATTTTCACCTTTTGCTCGTAAATATCTGCTTTCTTCTTATATGGTAATGGTATCAGTCAACTCAGAGACAGGACTGGAATTGGAACAGAAAATCTAGTTGAGCTTCCCTTCTCCTATCATTGTGTTTTAATCAGAAAAACTGGCTTCCAAGTACAGAACCATCTTTGCCCTTGATTAGATATTTAGGTACTCTTTCTGTTAATACACTTGCTTGTTGCCTAACACAAAATAAAATAAAATCTCTTAAACTATCCTACTAATAAAAGATGACATTGAAATTGTATCTGTAGGAAATATTTACAAAGATGATACATTTGTGTTTTAATTGATATTTAATTTTTATGTATTCAGGAAAGAAAATAAATGATTCAATATTATTAATGACATTGCCACTGACATTTGAAAAACCCAGAGGCAGTCACTTTTCAAAGTAGTAACAACATGTAAGAGTTTTTTTGTTTTTTGTTGTTTTTTTACAATCAGGTAAACCTTTTTCAGTTGTATTGCCTGGATTTCCCCTATTATTCAGATTATTTCTGTGAGTCTTTGTCATCAGTTCCTTTCAGAAGCAACTGAAGTCCAAAAACTATCAATAAGATAAAATGAACACAGTCCAGATATTTCAGATGCAAGAGATAGTATAGAATGAATTAAAATACTGTATTTTCTTTCCACAAACATGCTTCAATGTGAGAACATCTGATAGAGAGAAAACATTCTAATTTGAAGACATAAGCACATAGATGCATAAGTAATGGGACAATGAATAGTCTTCTACAGATGAATACACTTTGGGAGTTTTATTCTCTAAGGCTACTTGTCCTTTCTGAACATTACTATTGTAAATGCTCATTATTTTGAAAAAAAATGAATATTTGAAACAATTAATCCTGTTATTGGAATCTAAACTCTACAGAAAATGCCACAAAAAGCTTTTTTTTTTTTTTTATCTGTTGTGGGGGTTGTGGAGTTTGAACTCTGGACCGGGGCACTGTCCCTGAGTTCTTCAGCTCAAGGCGAGCCTAAGCACATTCACTGAACTCCTTTTAAGGTGGCAGATCATACAAAGATCCAGAGTCAGAGATAGTATTAAGAATTTCTTGTAAATGGCCCATAAGCCATTTAAAAACTCATTATTTCTCTATTGTATGCAAGGATTCACTCACTAGAAAACTCAGATCTATTAGTATTAAATGGCCATGTGCATCATCATAGTTTCATGTAACTTTTTTTTGATCAGGTTTTAATGTGAGAACTTAGATGGTTGGTGATATGGATGGATTTCTCATGGTTATGATGATATCATCTGTTGTTAAGTTTTCGTTAATGTAATAACTGGATCCTTTCTCTTTCAGCTGTTCCGTTTCCTCCAAGTCACCGGCTTACAGCAAAGGAAGTGTTTGATAATGATGGAAAGCCTCGTGTGGATATCTTAAAAGCACATCTCATGAAGGAGGGAAGGCTGGAAGAAAGTGTTGCATTGAGAATAATAACAGAGGGTGCTTCAATTCTTCGACAGGAAAAAAACTTGCTGGATATCGATGCACCAGTCACAGGTAAGTCCTTACCATAGTACCACAGTGGGTGGGCACTACCCCCTTGTGCCTACATGTCTTTTTTATAACACCAACTATAAGATTTGCTATCAGTAAGTCTTGTCAGATACCTTAGGACCGTGCCAGTTTCCTGTTGAATCTGTACACTAAAGGATGAAGTATATTGGTACTAAATCTCTTAGATCAAACTTTAAAGCCTTTTTTCTGGGGGACTGGGAAGGTGGCTCAGTGGTAAAGTGCTTGCCTTGTATGCATGAGGCTCTGGCTTCAATTCCTCAGCACCACATAAGCGAAAAAGCTGGAAGTGGCACTGTGGCTCAAGTGGTAGAGCGCTCGCCTTGAGTTGAAGAGCTGAAGGACAGCGCCCAGGCCCAGAGTTCAGGCCCCACAGCCAGCCAAAAAACAACAAAACACACACACACACACACACACACACACACACACACACACACCTTTTTGCTGGGTACAAAGTCAAGAATACATAATTAGTTTTTTAACATTATCACCTGTCTTAGTGAATAAATGTTTAGGAAAAATATTTAGATCAAATGAATTTTCTGAAGGTAAAAAGCTGAGTTTGGGTGTTTATTTTAAGGTTAAATTAGACCGTTTTTATTGTGTCTTTACAACGTCGGAGAAAAACCTGCAAAACGTATGTTTTATTTTTCATGCAAGAAGCATCTACCTTCTTACCATGCTCTAAATAGTAGTGACCATAAGTTCTGATGTTACTTAGAGATACTGTCTGTGGAACCACGAAGAACAAAGCACACAGATTACTCATTGGGCAGAGTTAGGCAATGTGTCATAAACGTTTCACAGCAGTGGAGGAAGTAAGCAAGATAAAAGTTTTGCTTCTTCAAGTGTGAGGTTCAGGCTGGCATTTCTTAGATACTATGACCTTAACTTTTTTTTTTTTTTTTTAGTATCTAAATAGTAGTTAATTCTCATCACCTTCCTGGCAACAATTGAATCGGATTTTCTGGGGCAAGGCCAGCATGCTGTCCTTCATCAAGTCCTCTGACTTGTGCTGACTGATACACACTAAAGTTTCATAAGCATGGGACCTAGGACTTCAGGAAAGCATCCAGAATATAAACCATTATTTTCTGAATGTTTTTATTTTATGACTTCTTATAGACCAGATATATATTTTGTCTAAGTACGCTAGTCTGAAGTCATAAAAATGAAATCTGATTAGAAACCAGGGCATCTCATGCCTAGCGAATTTTGATCTACTTTTGTCAACTTTGCTGAACTTGCTTTCATTCTGAGAGAACTTAAAATTTTTACTGTCCCCTTAAATATTCCCAAACCTTGAGACAAAGAATATTGTCCATTTTGAAGGAAAGGGGACATTTAATAAAAGTATGTTATATACTTGAGATTGGTTCTTTTTTCTCAGTCTTTATGTACTTATAAACTTCTGTTCTTCAAATATATGTTTGATTGTTACTGCTGGGGAAAAGATAAGTTGTTGTGGATATCACACTAGACCTTTGGTGACTAAAAGGTCCGTAGGGACCTAGGCATTTCTATTCCAACAACATTCTTTGCCTTATTTGGTTGACAATAAAGTACTGTTTTTCTTGTCTTCAATGTACAAGAAGAATAACCAGGGGCAGAGTCAGGAATCAGAAGGAATATATTCTAGTTGTATTAGCCTTATTGAAAAATCAGTGACTAAATCAGGCAGTAAAGGTTCCCTGTGCTTATCACCATGAACCTTCTTTATTTCCCATTTTATAAAATGGAGGCCAGACATTACCACCAGTTCATAGGAACCAAACTGTAAGGACAAAGTAATGCTTTTTAAAAAAACATTCTTAGAAATGAAAATATTATTTTTTAGTATCTAAATACTAGCACAGTCGTGAAATCACATTCAGATGAACCTTCATTTCTACCTCCAAATAATGGCAAAATAGAGCATTTGCAATATCCTTGTCATTAAGCTCATTTGTTCTTCATATGAATATATGACATATTGTATTGGGTTGATGTTCTTTTCTCCATTTCACTTGATAATGTGCACTTTCCATTGAAAAGTTCGCATTAAATTCACCAATCAGCCCAGTAGGTCTTAAGTTACAACTAAAAGGAAACATAGAAAATAGTAATTAGGACAAAGTATTTTCTGGAATAAGGTAGTATCTCTTCTGTTGGCTTAGGCTCTGACTTTCCTGGAAGAAAGCTCAAAGAACAGTATGAAAGAGCCTTGGGTTCTGTAGTTCTACACTAACCCTCTCCACCCCACCCGTCTTGTTTGAAAGGTGTGGGTTCATTTAGGTCCTCTTTTCCCCTTTATAATTCTGTACATTTTAATTTGGGGAAGACAACTAAATCATTGCCCACTCCCAGTCTGGATCCTGGCATCCATCCCTCTGAAGAGGACAATAACACAGAGTAGATTTGCGAATGTGGGGCCAGGAAGGAAGCCAAGCGATCCTGTGGGCCCCCAATCAAAACAAGGGAATCAAAATGTAAGAGCAACTTTCCTCAAAGTTATTTTGCCTAATTAGAATTGTAATTCTCACGGGAGAGGTTTAACTCAAAGAGTTTATTTCTGAGTTAACCATATTTGGGGGAAGAATAATATTTTCTCTCTCTCTGACTTTCTTCATGGAGTTGTGTATGTCTTTATCTGCTTGCAGATGTATGAATGGAAGATTGAAAATTGTCACCAAGCACCAGTGGCACATACTTGTAGTGCTAACTTATATAGGAGGCTGAGGTCCTGGGAAGATCAGGATTTTGAAGCCAGCTCTGAACAGAAAAATTCATGAGACCCTCATCTCAAAAGGAAAAACTGGGTGTGGTAGCATATCTTGTTATCCCAGCTGTGCTGTGGAGCTTAAAAATAGGTAGATTCTGGTCCAGGCACATGTCAGGGTAGGAAATGAGATCCTGTCTCAGAAATAACCAGTATAAAAAGGACTGATGTCATAGATCAGCAGAATAGCACCTGCCTAGCAAGCATGAGGCCCTGAGTTCAAACTTCAGTACTCCCAAAATGGGAAATAAAACTGTGGTCAAATATGAGTATGGACACTCACTTTGATAGTGCAACTGAAGGAAACTTTCTAGGACACTTTCTTTGGGCAGGTGATATGAGTTATGTAGGTGTGAATAAGACCTAGTCCATTCCTTGCCTTTCAAGGGCTCCAAATTAAATAGGAAAAACTGAAACATGTATTTACCTAAAGATAAGTATATCCACCCATTGATTGAATGAAAAGCTCTGACGTGATTATTCAGGCTAATTAGGAAACATCCAAAAGAATATAGCTAACTTAAATCCAGGAAAAACATTCTGTCTTTTAAGTAGCTAAGGTTTCCCTGTTAATGTTCATTGATTGTATTTCATCTTTCAGCTTAACAAATGTTCAAATAGCTATAATCCTACCAATCCTGAATATGGATTGAGAACTCCAGAAACATAAGTCTGTGGATGACTGGAACACCTGAGATACATATCATCCTTGACACGGTCACTAAGTGTTTAGTGAGGGAGCCGGGTACGTTAATTAATTAATTGTATTTTGTTAATAACTGTAATGCAGGTATCGAAAACTAGTATGGGTATTCAGAAAAAGGGATGTAGGAGCCAAAAAAAGTATTGAGAAGTTATGTGATATCTGAATGGGTTATATATTAAAATTAAGCTTCTACAATTTTAGAAAGAAATAAAGCCACAACATATCAATGACACAGACATCTTTTGTAGAGTAAGTGTGTCTCTCTATAAGAGAGAGATTTGAGGTGCGGAGGAAGAGAGGAGAATGGTGGAGAGGTTGAGAGGCCAGGATCATAAACCCCGGTACTACAATGGGAAGTTGGGGTCTTTGAGCCAGGGTATGTCATAATGAAGTTAGTACCACAGTAGTACCCAGCAAGAGACTAGGGTAGGCTGTGGAAGAATTCCTGGGAGAAGACTTATTTGATTTGGCAGGGTGTAAGGGTGCAGGACCTTTAAAAAAAATAACTGTTATTGTTGATGTAAAAGTTTTAAAATCAAATATTTTTGCAGTTTGACATTAAAAAAATAATCAGTTCCCATTATAGTCTCCGTGAGGACGGCCAGTTTGTTAAATTTCTTCGTGCTCAGATTTTCCTGTTTTCCCTTTGACATAGCAGAGAACTTTCCACTCATTTATAAAGCAGAGGCGACCTGGAAGTTAGCTTTCTGAGTAGATGGCTTTGGACCTCATTTTCTGTTCTCTGGACTGAGAGGATAGGCCAGCATCAGCTGGGTGAACTGCTAATCTCTCTGCTTTGTCTGTTTCCTGCAGTGGAGGATTTGTCCCTGTGGCAGCAAAAGGATTCCCTCAGTGGCTGGGGCTGCCATTTAGCGTGTCAGGCAGTTGCCAGGAGAACCCTCTGGCTTTGTTCCTGGCTGTGAGAGTGGACCAGTGGCCAAGTTTAAGGTCACGGCATTCCTTCCCTTACAGCAGCTGACGTCAATTAGGAGAATTCCCCTCGCCTGGACTCTGGGGAGAGTTAAGTGGGGATTGGAATCCGATCGGGACCTAAAAGATCAGTGTTTATACTTCTCATACTATCATTTGTCATTATGAAGCACCATGGCCTTGGTTCATATGGGGATAAAATATTACTTCTGGGTCATTTTGCCTACTTGCATTTCAGAGGCTAAATCTTTAAGGCCTGCTCTCACTCAGAGGCCTATTTTGGTACCCAGCCTACTGCTGGCAAGTCAGTGTATTTCTGTCCCAGCCTGTGACAGCAGCACATCATTTTCTTGTCATTATTCTCCTTAATTTAAGCCTTTGCATGTGAGCCAAAGTCCTTTTCACTGACTTGTTGATCTTTTAACCTCTCCGGTCTTGTGTAGTTGTTCCTAGGAAACCCATTTGCAAATGAGAAAAGGGAGAGAAACAGAGCGAAAGTCAGTGTTTCCAAACTTGAACACAAATTGGAAACACCTGTACGACTTTGTAACCCACAAATCACCAATTCAGACCTCCAGATTTCAGATTCAT